CCCAGTCTAGATTATATTGCGGGATGCACAAAAAGGGCAGCCCAATTCATCCCCTTACTAGTGGGGCTGGGAGTCACAGCGGCCAAGGGGACAGGTTCAGCGGGGTTGCGGGTAGCAGTATATTCTTATACTAAACTATCTAACCAGCTGATTGATGATGTTCGAGCATTATTTGGTACTATTCAAGATATCCAAGACCAGATAGACTCGCTAGCAGAAGTGGTCTTGCAAAATAGGAGAGGCTTGTTCCTTCTGACAGCAGAGCATGGGGGAATATGTCTTGCTTTACAGGAAAGGTGTTGTTTTTATGTTAATAAATGAGGCATAGTTCGAGACAAAATCTGGGAGCTTCAGGATCAACTACTCAAGCGGAGACAAGAGCTTGCGGATGACCCCTTCTCCTCGTTGTGGGGAGGAATGTTCCCCTATCTTGTGCCCCTGTTGGGACCCCTCTTCTCACTCCTACTGTTGCGCATGATAGGACCTTGCATTTTTCAAAAACTTACAGCATCCATCAGCTCATGTTTAGATGCCTTTGCTGCAAAGCCCATTCAGATACATTATCTTCAGCTGGAAATGGCAGATCATCAAGAATATCGTGAAAGGGTCCCCCCAAATGGACCCTATAACAATGCGGCCTAATCTGATGTAGGTCCCCCTGGTGAGATGGACAAGTAGTCAATGATGGGCAACTAGGACCCACATGCAGTACCGCCGACCGCTTAAGACAGGAACAGGGCCTAGTGCTGCCCTGTAATCCCACGATGGGTAGGGTCTGGTCGATCTCATGTGAAGGAGTCCTTGACCCAAGCCAGGCATTGTCCCCGCAGGGTACTGTCAATTTCCCGCTTAATGTATTTAATAAAAAGGGGGGACATGTGGGGGGCAATAGAACGTTCTTCTTACACTTTCCCTTATTTGGACAAGAAATGCTACAGCACCAATCCCTGCTTACCTCGGCCTCTTCCTGTGGTCCTGGACCTCCACTACCAATCCATAACTAGTCCCACCCAACTACTTCCACTATACGGCTATTTAGACCCTGCTCACTTCCTCAATAAACGAGACTTGATCAGAAAGCCTGTCTTGTCTCCATCTCTTGTGTCTCTTGCCTTGTCCTGTTCATCCCCATTCCTCCTCCAGGTCACTACCCCACATGTTGACTCGCGGGATGAGTCAGATATAAGAGAAAATTTAACTCCCAACCTGCTAGATATTGGGTGTGCTGCATTTGTCTGCCCTGAAATCAAAGAATGAATTTCAGAAGACAGAGAAAGTTTATTGGTGAATAGGAATAACTCCTGAAGGGCCAGCATGATAGCTTAGCAGACTAAAGCACCCACTTAGGCAGAGCACAGCAGCTGGGACTCCTTGCCCTGCCCGCTGCAATTGCCCTGCCCCTGGGGCACACTAAGAGGGCAATTGAGACTGGGTATGGTGTCGCATGCCTGTAATCCCAGCACTTGGGAGGCTGAAAACAGGAGAATCACTATGAGTCAGATCTACATAGTGAGACCCTGTAGATCCTATTCTAAATTCAGGGAAGAAAAAAAAAAATCCGTGAGACCAAAAGGTTCCTGCAGGTGGGTTGCTGCCCAGGCACGTCATCGGGGGTAATTTATACAGCAAAGTCACAATGTGGGTTGAAGTATAATCAAGCTATAGGATTCCAAGTATAGCTGCTTAGCTAATATTGCCAGTAAGGAAGCGGGTCATGTAGCAAGGGTACATGGGATCAACTGAGGCATTTTGGGAAAGGATGATTCTGTATGCTGCAGTCCCCCATGGGGTGACTGATGTCTATTTGGGCTTTACTGGACCAGATAGAATATAGTATAATGCCAAGTTGGTGCTGATTAGCCCTCGGGGAGACCCTTAGGCCTGCTTGCTGCATCTTTATCTTGAGGCCTGATCTTCTTCAGATGCCCCTCCAGCAACCCTTCTAAGGTCTTTATTTTTTCTGCTGATTTCCTTGAGCCCAGTCTCTCCTGGACTGTGTATTAATTTCTGTCTGCCTCAGCTCCATTTGGGAAGGGATGTGGTGACTAGAGAGGCTGGAGAAGTGGACAGGGCCTTCAAGAGGACAGAGGACCAAACCGCGCACGACCATGCACTTGAGGACCACTCCGGAAGCAGGGGGTGGGGGCACAGAGAACAAGGTTGTCTAGTTTGTACCTCAGAAGCATCCTTATGGAAATCAAGGAAGCCCCTGAGTGCTCTAGAGTTGGGTGAGACTGGAGAATTGGTAAGGCCTGAGGTATTGAAGAGAAGGACTCCAGTTCCAGGGCTGGATGAGGAGTGGTAGAAAATACTGTAGAGTGAAGAAGGGCAGAGGAAGGGCTGGTGAGATAGCTCAGCAGACTAAGCGACTGCTTTGGCAAGCACAGGGACAAGGGTTTGATCCCTGGTCCCACATGCCGTGCTGACCCTGCTCCCAGGGTATGCTGAGCTGGCGACTGAGTGTGAGCATGGTGGTGTATGCCTGTAATCCTGGGGCCAGGGAGGCTGAAAACAGGAGGATCACCAGGAGTCTGATCTGTGTAGTGAGACCCTGTACCAAATATATAAATGAAAAAAAGAAAAAAGAAGCGCAAAGGAAAGAAGAGGGAGCCCTGGTTTAGGCATGTTGAGTTGAAGGACCTATAGATTGACAGAGAAGTTTGGAATATAGGAGACTGATCTGAAAATATCCTTTGATTTAAGGCATAGCATATCCGAGAATTGTGAGGGCTGTGGAGGTGGGAAGGGGAGGCTGCAGGCTGAGGATGCAGACTTGTGATCACGAACAGGAATAGCAGCCACACTTTAGAGAGCTCTGGGTGGGGCTGGTGAGATGGCTCAGTGGTCTAAAGCACCTACTTAGAACAAGCTTAGCAAAGCCCAGGGACCATGGTTCAATCCCCCAGCACCACATGCCAGCCAGCCCCGCCCCCTAGTGGGCTGAGCTGGCCACACACACACACACACACACACACACACACATAAAATTAAAAAAAAATCATAGAGAGCTCTGGGTGAAGACAGAGGGCTGGAGGCCCATGTGAATAGTGACTGATGGTTAAAATATGCTTTCATTTCCGGCCTACCTCCAGCCCACTTTAGGGAGCACTGGGTGAAGACAGAGGGTAGGAGGCCCGTGTGAAGAGTGACTGATTATTAAAATATGCTTTCATTTCCGGCCTACCTCCTCCTCTCTCCCTCACCTTCTGCCTTCCTTCCTTCACAGTGGAAAGTATATAAAGGAAAATTTCTCACTGATCATCCCAGTCCACACATCAGCCCACCTCGTGTGTGTGGGTGGGTGAGGGTACTGGGGATCAACCCCAGGGCACTGTGCCACCAAGTAGTATCCCCATCTTTTTATTTTTTCTTTCTAAAACTTTGAGACAAGGTCCTGTTAAATTGCCCAGGCTGGCCTTGAACTTGTGGTCTCTGTGCTTGTCTAGGCAGGCGCTTAGTCGGCTGAGCTATCTCACCGGCCCTCCACCAGATTTTTAAAATAAAAGTGTCAACTACACTTGCTAAGAAAACTGAAATGACACAGAGGTTAACAAAAATAAGGGCTAGCCAGATAATTCGGAGGACTAAACTCCTGCTTAGACAGGTATAGCAACTGGGGTTCAATCCCCAGTGTGCCATGCCAGTCCCACCCCTGGGGTGTGCTGAGTCTGCGACTGAGACTGGCAACTGAGACTGGGTGTGGTGGCACACACCTGTGACCCCAGTGCTTGGGAGGCTGAAAACAGGAGGTTCATTATGAGTCCAATCTGTGTAGTGAGACCCGGTACTAAATACATTTAAAAAAAAAAAAAAAAAATTAACAAAAATAAAAGTAAAATCTTGTCAGCCTGTCTTCTGACCAGATTCCTGAGCACTGAGGCCCAGAATGTGGTTAGGTACCCCCTCAGCTCTGAGCCTGCTGTTTAGACCACTCAGACTTCTCACACAAAACAGTTTTGTAGTCACACAAAGCTTTGCCTCCCTGCACTTCTCACCATTTGTCACCCCTGCTTTCCCACTACAGTCCTTAAAAAAACAGCTTATCTTCAAAAGCTCTTTTCTATTATAGGTCCATGTATTGTCATTCGCCACTGCCAGAGTATTTGTCAACTCTCTTACTGGATCTCCCACAGCATCAAAGGTCAATTACTGGTTACTTTTTAAGCTTCCTTTTCTCTTGGTTTCCATAGTGATTGCATTCCTGCACCTCTGGAAGTCGGCTGGGCTGCACTGCGGAACCATACACAGAACTTTCTGGTTGTCTTGGCTCCTTTCTCTTCTGCCCTCTAGTGTACTTTAGAGAGCTACTCTTTGACCACGTTCCAGTAAGGAGCTTGGATTTCAGTTGGGTTTTGTCGCTTCCTTACTGAGTCATTTTACACTTCTCTTGACATCAGGGGTGTCTGCAGTTAACCTTTGAATCGTGGGTGGTGAGCACTGTGTCCCAGCAGTGAGAAAGTAACTGTGACAACTCCCCATTTCCCACTTCAGGAAGCAGTTGGTGCCACCCGGGGCCAGATCTGGATGACATCTTGACTTCTCCTCTACCAGGTTTTATTTCCAATATCCAGTCACCAGGGAGGCCCACTGGAAGGCTCCTGCCATAACCGAGTTGAGAGAGGATGATGGCGTGGGTCGGGGTGGAAGCAGTGGCGGCAATAATTTTATACATATTCGAAGTGAAGGGACTAATACTTGCTAATAAATTATAAGCAGAGTGTACGGAAAAGGGATCATATCAAATATTTTGCCCTGAGAAATTAGAAGGATGAAGGCAAGGATGGAAACTAAGGCAGGAAGATGTTGGGAGAACCTGTTTTAGAAAGAAAGATCAGGAGTTGAGTTTTCTTGCCTTGTGTTTGAGCCTTGATCCCTCCTCATGCCCTGCACAAAATCTATTTCAGATGATTTGTGGATAGATCCGTGAAAAGTAAAATAAACTTCTAAAAGAGAACGCAAGCTCTTCATGACCTAAGGTAGAAACAGTGTTTAACAGTATATAAAAATCATTCATCATGAAAGGGAAAAAGGATAATTGGACTTCAGTATAATCAAGAGCTTTTATTAGTCAAAAAGTACCAATTAGAGAGTGAAAAGGCAAGCCTGAGTGTTGAAGAAGATGGTTGTTAAAACATATCTGATGAAAAGAAATCCTACACAGCAATAAGAATAAGGTGAACACAGCCATAATAATTAAAAACAACAACAACAACAAAAAAAAAACCACCCTCAAACAGGCACATGGAAAAGGAGACCAAAAACAAATGACCAACAAACAAATAAAAAGATAATTAGCTTTATAGTCATGAACAAAATACAAATGGACCAATACATACCCCTTACCACAGGCATTTTAAAGAACCCAGTAAGGGGCCAGGGATATAGCTCAGTGGCATAAGCACCTGCTTGACAAGTACAAGGTTCCAAGTTCAATCCCTGGTACCACACACACACACACACACACACACAAAAAAAAAATAATAATAATAATACCAAGTTTTGGTAAGGATATAGAACACTAGAATTCTCAGAATGTGCTGGTGAGAGTAAGATTGATAAAACCACTCTGGCAAACTGGCAGTATCTACTGAGGCTGCACTATGTCATATGACAACTCTACTATTCAAGTTCTTTTTGCGCCATTTGAGATAGGCTCTGGCTGTGTACGCCAGGCTGGGGTCAAGCTCACGCGATTTCCTTGCCTCAGCCTCCCACTGCTAGGATTATATCTCTCATCACACCTGGCTAGTTCCAGTTTTTGAAATAGGCAGTGATTGCATGAATACACCAATTTATATAAACCCATAGGAGGAGTTTGTATCATTCACTATTTTTAGACCATTTTGAAATGATAGATTATGTTTTGTCTGTTTTTATGACATGCTTTTTTTTTTTTTTTTTTTGGTGGAACTGGGGATTGAACTCAGGCCCTTGCGCTTGCCAGGGAAGCGCTTATTCCACTGAGCCATCTCCCCGGCCCCAACATGCTTCTTGTGTGTGTGCCACTCCTCACTCTTATAATAACTTTGAGAAGATTTAACCCGAATCCTTTTCATTGCTTATTTTTACTTCATTTTATTTTATTTTTTGGTGCCAGGGATTGAACTTGGGACCTTGCATTCACCAGGCAGGCACTTATGCTGCTGAGCTATCTCCCTGACCCCTCATTGCTTATTTTTAGGTGAAAGCAGTTTTCGCTCTTGTAAAATCAGGCAAGAAACCTTTTCTGACTGCAGCTCTCCCCCTGCTGAGGCTTTGGTGGAGCGTCATTAAGGAGTGCAAATTCACCAGCATGGTAAAGATCACAACAGCCATTAAAAAGGCCTGATAGTAAAATTCAAAATGTTTAAATAAGAAAGTTTGTTCTCTGCCTGTTTAGGCAGATGCAGGGGCCAGGGGTTCCATCCCCAGCCTGCCTTGCTGGCCCTGCCCCTGGGGCACGCTAAAACAGTGACTGAGACTGGGTGTAGTGGTGTGCGCCTGTAATCCCAGAAAGCAGGAGAAGCATTACAAGTCTGATCTGTGTGGAGACTCTGTAGACCCTGTACAAAAAAAAAAAAAAAAAAAAGCTGATGTTTACACTATTAGGAATGATTAATTTTTCCTAA